GCGCGCGGTCTCCCCCGCGGCCCCCGCCCCGCCGCCGCACGCGGCCGCGCCGCTGCCGCCGCCGCCGCCCGCGGCTGCTGCGGCCTCGTCCTGCGCGGCGGCGCGCGACAGGTCGATCACCAGCACGGTTATGTTGTCGCGGCTGCCGCGGTCGACGGCGGCCTTTGTCAGGATCGTCGCCGCCACGCGCGCGGCCGCCTTGGGCGACGCCCCCTTGTCGCGCGCGCGCCGGATGCAGCGCGTTGCCAGGTCAGCGGCCTCCTGGTTGGGCATGACGTCCCACAGGCCGTCGCTGGCGAGCAGCAGGACCTCGTCTTTCGCGTGGCGCTTGAAGACGGTGATCTGACAAGGGGACGAGGGGGTGTGAGGATGGGTGGATGAGGGCATGGAGGGGTTGGTGGGTCGGCTATTGCGGAGTTTGGGGCAGTGAACGCTTGAGGGAAGCTTGAGGGGTATCAGTGGTCTCTAAAGTAAGAGACTGGGGCGAGGCCCCCCTGAGCCCTGCAAGCGCGGCTGGCCTGCCGCTGGTTAAGGGCCGGCAGCAGGCAGCCAGCGGGCAGCGGGGGCGCCGCATCGGCCGCCGGCCCCGCCCCCCGGCAGCGCACTGCCCCGCTGCGGGGCAGAGCGGGCGAGGGGCCCAAGGGCCAGCACCGGCGGTCGCCGCGCTGTCATTGCGCGCACCTCCGGCTCCGGGATGACGTAGGGCCTGAGGCAGTGGTCGCCGATGGCGCGGCTCATGGCCAGCACGCCCATCACGCGGTGGCCGTTCCAGTACAGCACCTGCCCGCCAGCCTTCTCCACGCGCTCCTGCAAACGTCCGCAGCGCGCGTGCATCCGCAAGCAGCTGGGTTCAGAGACAGGCACGTGCGCGGGGCGAAACGCTAGCCCGACCCCTAACCCCCAACCGCCCGCTGTCCCCACGGCAAGCCGCTCTGTGGAGTTGCAGCGCAGGCGACTGCCCACAGCACACGCACATGCACGCGGGCGCGAGCGCCCTGCCGCCCTGGCGCAGCCCGCGCAACCCGCGGCCCACTCACCGCCTCGTCAGCGCGCTCTGGCTTGTGGTCGTCCGTGACCTGCACCGCCTGCCCGCCGCGGCACAGCACCGCGCGCGAGTCGCCGCAGTTGGCGATCCACACGTGGTGCGTGCCGACCAGCGCGCACACGGCGGTGCTGCCCACGAGGCCCGCGGTGCCGTCGATGCTGAACTCCTCATCCGTTTTCAGGAAGGCCTCCCGCAGCGCATCCTCGAGCAGCGCGCACATCCCTGAGCTCGGGCACTCGCTGCCGTCGCTCGCAGCCTCGTCGCCGCCGCTTGCCTCGCCGCTCGCCTCGCCGCCGCCGCCGGCGCTGTTCGCGGCGCGCGGTGAGCCGCCGGCGCCCTTCTTGTGCTCGGGGCTGCTGCTCTCGCGGGTCAGCGCGCGCAGCGCCTCCTCGTCTTCCGAGGCGACCTCGGGCCCGGGCGCGGCGCCGCCCGCGCCGCCGGCGGCAAAGTCGGCGCGCCCGTTGGCACCGTCGGGCGCGTCTCGGGGGGCCGCCCCGTCGGCTTGTTCCCGGTACACAGCCACGAACTGGACCTGTGGGGGGGGCGAAGGAAAGCGGGACGATGGGGCATCCACTCGTCGGATTGCATGGCATGTGTTATGGCGCCCTTGCATGGGAGCTTGCATGGGATCCACCATCATTAGGAATGACTGCAGGCACCGGTCGTCCCGCAGGCAAGGGCTGCCTGGCGACAAGCGGTGCAGCGACGAGCTGAGTCACCGCCCTGCGCGCCGCCCCCGTGCATCGGACTGCCCCCTCACCTCTGGGACGACCGCCTGCTGCCAGGGCCCCTCCGGCAGCGCCTCTAGGCTGGCCGCGGACTCGACGCTGCCCACCACGGCCTGCGCCAGCAGCGACGCCGCCATGCCGCGCAGCGCGGCGCTGAGGTGGTGGTGCAGCCGCGCGGCGCAGTGCTGCGACGCCTGGATGCCGCCGTGGCCGTCGTACACGCCGAAAAAGTGCAGCTTCTCCAGGGCGCAGACGCCGTCCACGGACGACCCAAACGTGCTGCCGCTGCCGCCGCTGCCGCCGCCGCCGCCATCGCGGCCGCCGGGCGCCGGCCCTGCGGAGGTGCCGGCCGGCGACGCGGCGTCGCAGTCCTCGGTTGAGGGCTCGCCGTGGGCCAGCTGCACGGCGATGCGCTGCGGCAGCTTGTCGGCAAAATCGACGGCCATGGGGGGCATGGGCAGCTCGCAGATGTTGGGGCACAGCGCGTAAGTGTCCTCCATGATGGGCCGCTTGCCGCAGGTGGCCTTGACCGCGAAGGGCGGGCACGTGCACGGGTCCGACGGCGAGCCCTGCAGCGCCGCGCCGTGCGACGACGAGCCGTCCTCGGCGAGTGCCGCTGAGGTCGCGCCGCGGAGCGTCGCACCGCAGCAGGCCCCGCCGGCGGCGCCTGCACCACGGCAGGCGCCGCAGGCCGCAGCCTCCCCGTAGCTGCACCGGCGCCCGCTTGCAGTCACGGGGTTTGCCCCGCCGCCGCCGCCGCCGCCGCCGCCGCCGCCGTTGCCGCAGCTACAGGCGGAGGAGGCCGTGCCGCCTTCAGCACCGGCGCTGCAGGCGCATGGTCCCGGCGGACGCGCCGCCATGGGAGGGGCGGCGGTGAGCGGCACCAGGAGCGTCTCCTGCTCTGGCAGGGGCACTCGGTTGACGCCGCTGCCGCTGCCGCCGTTGCTGGTGCTCCCCACCATCCCCCCTACACGCCGCTGGCTGTGGCGATATCCCATCAGGCCGCCATCCGTAGACAGCGACGCTGCGCTGCCGCTGGTATTGGCTCCGAGACATGAGAGCACGTCAGCGCGCGGCGAGGCGCTCTGCTCACTGCGCTGCCGCAGGGCCTCTCCCAGGCTCTCACTGGCTGACAAACCGCCCTCCAATGCCAACCTGCAACCGACAGGATCTGTGGATGGTCCCGGGACAGTAAGTGTCTGTCAGGAAGCGGCTGGCATTGGTAACAGGCAGCAACCATCGCGCGGCGCAGCGCGGTCCGAGCAACCACGGGCCCCCGCACCGCACACCCACAAAAGGGCCATCAAAACACGTATTGGTTTCAAACACGCGTCTATGCCCCCACAAACAGGCAGGCGACGAACGGGAGACCCCGTGAGCAAGTCGCACCGAGCGTCTGCGTCTGCTGCCGCTGCAGACGCCCCAAATTGCTGACATCCGTGGCCATGCGCGGTCGGGCGATGCCTCCCGCCCGAAGGGCAGGGGCACGGAGAGGTGATGCAAGGCGCCCTGTCTGAGTCGCCAGGCGCCCGCTGCCCGTTCGCCGAGTGAATCACCAGCCTTCAAGCTTCACAGCGCTTCAAGGCGCTCAAAAGGCCGCCTGCTGGCAGCCCAGCGCGTCAGACGCGAGCCATGCCAACCACGCGAGGCTGCCGCCTCCGGCAGCCCGAACCGAGCTAGCAGTTCATGTTGAAATCTGCGCAGGTGTCGCCACTGGGTGGTGGCCGTGTGGGCCGAACGCGCATCCAGGACTCTGTGTCGGGCCTGCGTCTGACCGGCACACTGCTGAGAGAAGCGTCGTAGGAGCAGTAGCACTGGGAAAGAGGCGTTGGAAGCAGCCCCGGCTGTCGTGCCGGCCGTGGGGGCCGCAGCGGGTGCAGCTTCAGCGGCGAGTGCCCCTCTGGTGCCACTGCGATCGTGCTTTCCCAAGTGCGCTTCAGCGCCGCCCTGCCCCGGGCTAGGAACAAGTGGGTGTTGCATACCACCAGGGACTAGTGGCTTGGTAAGCACGGGGAGGGCCGCAGCAACTGCGCTCCCAGATGGGCGCAAAAGCATCCCAGCATCGCCACAGACCAAAGGCCTGGTGCAATACACGGCAGCCCCAGCTTTGCGGATTGCTGTTGACACATGCATTTCAAATTAAAAGGCGTCAGCTGCTTGCCGCAGTCCGCGGTCACCAAGGTTCAAACAAGGGGGATCACTGGGATGGCTGCCGGGTGACACAGTGACGCCATCGACAGCCTACAGAGGGGCCTGAGGAGTCCAACCAGCGATACAGGGCACCCAAGCACCCGTGAATTCGCTGACCCTCAGGTTCGACCAAGGCGTTTGTTCGTATGCATAGTGGCACCAGGATGAGAATGGAGACGAGCAGCCGATGCACTGAGGTGAGAGGTGCAAGAGGGCGGCGCATTATGTGGTGTTTTGGGTATGAGTGCAGCACAAAAGGAAGTCTAAGCACATGAACGTGCGTATTGAAGCAAATCCAGGTGGTGATGCGACTCGAAGCGGACACATTACCAGAGCTCCATATGCTGGAATATCTTCCTTTATTGCAAGTGCTCGCTGCAACTGCTCACTGCAACGACAATAGAAACATTGCATTGCAAATGCTCAAATGAAGTGCAGACAGCTCATAGATGCACCAGGCAGAGCTTGCCGTTTGACCGCTGCGGACAGCCCTGCAATACCACCAACACACAGAACACCAAAGCCACTACGGTAATCGGTTGGCCCCAACCTCAAGGTAGATGCCGGGAAAAATGGCGGCCATAGTACGGCAACACGGCCGCAAACCAAGCAACTGCATGCCAGGTTAATCCACTACAACAACAGGAATAGCTGATGGCCACACATGGAAAGGGTTAGCTCTACACAAGGGTTGTTTGCCAGACACAGAGCTTGGCAGCCAGAATGGGACGGAGGCAGGCACAAGGGGCCAGGGTCACATGATAAAGCAGATCTGACTGACTGGCGGGAAAGCAAACTTACCTGCAGTTTTACTGACAGCGATAAGGTGCGCTCACGACCCGCTGTAGCATAATCACATGACAAGGGCAGCATTCAAGCAGCAGCATGCACATCTGACGCCTTCTTGCACATGCCGTGTTGTAGATATAGAGGGTCATGGTTTGGTGGTGGCAAGAGCCACCGTTTTGGGGGGTGAGACGCCAAGCGAGGGGCCCGCGAGACGATGTCACACGCAAGGTGCGTGTCTACGCGCGCTCCCCGCGGATGCGGCGCGCCAGCTGGATGTCCTTAGG